CAACGATCCCTGCCCCGGACACTTTGGCATCTCTGGATCCAGAGTACTGCAGGTGTTCCCGTGCCCGTGCCACAATGAACTCCTCTCTGACTGAACTGAAAGGGAGCCTGAGCTTGTTGGTGTTCCCATACAGCCCAATGCTACTTAGGCTGCGTGGTAATCCCAGCCATCTTCGCAGATAGCTGCTCACCTTCTGCTCAAAACCTTCCACCACAGTCATGGGGACCTCATAGATGAGGAGAGGCCAGAGAATTCTTGGGAGGATCCCATGCTGGTAGACCCAGGCCTTGAATCTTCCAGGGAGCCCAGACTTGTCCACTGTCCTTAACCAGCCCTCCAGGTCAGCACTGGTTGCCTTGATGGAATCTGCATCCTTCAGACTGCAGTTGAAGACCTTTCCAAGGCTCTTCACTGGCTTCTCAGTGACTGATGGGATCTGATGTACTCCCAGGCTGAAGCGGAATCTGTCTGTGACCTTCCCCTTCTTCAGAACCAAGGACCGGGACTTTGCCGGTTTGAAGCTCATGCGTGCCCACGCCATGACGCGCTCCAACCCCTGGAGGATCCACCTGGCTCCTGGTACAGCTGTTGTTGTCACCGTGAGGTCATCCATGAAGGCTCTGATGGGAGGTTGCCTCACTCCAGACTTGCTGAGGGGACCTCTGCATTCTGGTTCAGCTGCCTTGACCAGCATATTCATTGCCAGCGCAAAGAGGCTTACTGAGATTGTGCACCCAGTGATTATGCCAACTTCCAGCTGGTGCCAGTCAGATGTCATCTCGCCAGAGGAGACTCTCAAGCTGAACTTGCTGTAGTAGTCCAGAATGAGGTGTTTCACCTTCTGGGGAACATGGTGTCTCTCCAGTGCCACTCCTACCAGCTTGTGGGGTATCGAGCCATAGGCGTGAGTGAGATCCAGCCATAGCACCGCCAGATCCCCTCTGCCTTCTCTCGCCTCCCTGATGACTTGGGTTACCACGCCTGTGTGTTCCAGGCAACCAGGAACTCCCGGTATTCCACCCTTAAAGGTGGGTACTTTGAATTAACAATTAGCGTGATAAACGAAGCAGCTTGAAGCAAGAACACAACTCGTTACATGACAAACTAAATCATAACATAAGGAAGGGTAGAAAAGAGAGCAAACAAAAACTGCCACCCTTACTAAGGGAAGTTCACACAAGTGGACGCGAGGAACATTTTACGCAGAAGCAAAAATACTGCTTGTGCCACAACAAAATACGCACAGCAAAAATAATCTTCAGAATCTTTTGTTTTTGTGATGTTTTTGTTTAGGTTACATTTGGTTTTGTTCCCTCATGTGGCCTTTTTGTCTTCACCTGTTCTCGTTATGCGGGTCAATTGTGTTGAACCAATCAGCTCCCTCAACCCCCATTTCTGTTATGTCTTGTCCAGGTGTTTCTCGTTGCTCGTCACTTTGCTTGTATTTAGTTCCCTGAGTTCTGGCGGTCTCCTTCGGATCTTTGTGCTCCTGTTATGTTGTGTGTTCCTGTCATGTTTTGATTCTGTCATAGGCTTTTTGTTTTGTTTGTTTCTTTGTTTTAATATGGTTTCAGGATTTTGTTTGTGTATTTGTGTTTGTTTTTTTCCCAGGATAGTCCTGCAAGTATTTTTCTTGTTAATATGTTTTGTTCAGTCCACCCTGCTTCTCCGGCCTCCCTGCTTTATGGGTCCTCTACCATCACACAAAACTTGACAGTTTTGGCAACTTGATTGCCTTTTTCAACGACCACTTCATTGGTCATGTTTTCAGCATGAACATTTGAGTAGATTTGATTACCTAACCAAATGGTTCGATGTGTGCGGATTTGATTTGAAAAGATGAGCAATCAATTTTTTTAACGTGGAGCTCATTTAAAAATGAATGAACAGCAAACAGCATTTTGGTGTGTGAAAGAGAAGCATCTTTGTTTAAACCCCAAGGAGTGAAGCTGGGGAGGGGGGTTGCTTTTAGTCCCAACTTTACAGTAATTAAATATAAATAACATTAATACAGAACAATTATATCAAGCAGATATCACGTTGACGAGCTTTCACAAACAATGATTACATACACAGTAGTGAAGTCAATTTCTTCAACTCTGAGCCTTAATGCATCTGACTTGCGTGCTTGCAGTCAACAACGGAGTCGGTGTTTCATAAAAGCAGGGGCACTAATTTTATTCAGGAATGCACACTCAACAAAGAGCAGGTTGCTCCACTTCTATTTAATTGTAACACTAAAGACCAGAGGGCTCCGTGAACACAGAGCATGAGGTGGTAGCACAGCCAATTAGAAGCTGCTTGAGGTCAAGTCAAGGCCTGAGGGAGTAGAGGAAACAATAAATTATTTGGAGAGTAAAAAGCAAAGTGTTGCCCAGTACAAAATGTATTGCGTTGTTTTAAGTCTTGACAAGTTATTTTCCCAATGAATTATACATGTGAAATTGTGCTACAACATGCATTGCCCAGTGAGGTGGAGATAATCTCTCAACAATGGTGTGTATGACAGAACACAGCAAGAGATGGTTGCCGGATGGAGAGCTGAAGTGTACCCTGTCACATCGCCCAAGCTGCCGTTACTGAAATACAACAAGTGACGTGGACTGTGGCAATTTTTTTTCATGATTGTGGTTACATTTTGCGGTGGTTCAGAGTCAAAATAAAGGATAGGATTGCAAAGTTAAATGACACACAGACAGTCAAATTAAGTATGTTTACAAGAGTGTCCCCTAAAGGAATGAATGAATCATCTTTTTTGAACACGTAGGTTTGGGGAAATGTCATTATTTGACAACAATGTAATCCACCATAGCAACATAAATGTAAGCATTACACTTAAAGGCAGTATTTGCATTTTATGATAACTTTTTGAAATATTTATGATTACTGATATAAAAGTAAACTGTAACATAAATTGTTTGGCGTGCATTTTTAATCCATTTTGGACAGTAATCTATGGCAATTGTCAAGCCAGGAAGAATAAGTGAATGTGGGAAGCAGCTTTTGTGTTTGAAGTTGTATGCTCTGAGAATAAACATTTCCAATTGGCTATAGAGCGAGGAACCTTCCCTCAGCGGCATGCATATCCTTTTCAAACAAAATCCAGTCATGTACAGCCATTTGCAGTCGTCTACTTTTCCCTATTTTTGTTTTCCAAAACATTAGTAGTGCAAACTGTAATGCGTGCAAATGCCATGCATCAAGCAGGCTCTCCCTCTTGTTTCTTTTCTTTCCCCTCACGCTTCCTTCCGCTTGCTGTATTCGGAAGGCGGGGAGAAAATCATATGGTCAGGCTTGTGCAAAGCCAGCAAATAATGGGATCAAATTCCATTCTCTTCCGCCTATCAAAGTTTTACACAAAAGCTTCCAGTTTCAATACCCAGGAAATTCTAAAGACTTCTAAACACAAATCAACTTCCTTTGACAGCAACACAATGTGTATGTTTTAGCATCTTGCCTCTGAAGCCCCATCACAGCCTATGATATCGACATTGACTTACCTAAACATTCTGCCAACCAGCTTGGACACAAGTTAAAGAACTGGGGGTTAGTTTACACAGTACAAAAGAACTCGATTGAGATAAGACACATGTTAAGCAAGGGACATCTGTTTTGCAAGCTCTGATGGGCTCTGCAGATTTCTCAGCTAAAGTCGCTTTGTTCCTGAGTGTAAAACAAAAATGAGCAGCGTGCGGAAATTCTAAATTGTGTCGGCTGCAAAATGAAAGCAGTTCAAAAGCGCAGTTACCTGTATTGTTTGTGTAGCATATCAAAACCCGCTGATATTGTGTGCGCCTAAATTGATTTGTGGGGTGAATTGTGCCAATAAACCCGCCTTAAGCATGATGATTTGAATTTGTTTCACGGGTTCCAATTCAGTGGTGATGCGTTATTAATACTGTGCTGAGCTTGCATAACTAAAGTGTGCTCTTCCTTCCTAACTGTGGCAATGTGTGCAGTCAAGGACATGTGCAGAGACACACCGCAAAAACACATTCAAACATCCAGCATTTGCATTTTTTTTACTCCTGCGCTTTAAATCCAAAAATCATATGCTAAACTTTAAAGAAGTGCAACCACTTGCATGAAAATCCGATCTAAAAGCTCACATTCAGCAAGACATGCATTTTATGATGCCATCTATACATCATGGCCCCGCTCTTTACTCTTGCACCCTGCTTTGGGAAGCCAACATCTCCCGGGGTCAAAGTGGGAGAGGGCTTCCCAGTCGAAGACCTCTTGATTGCATGCGACCTGATGGGGTTGATTAATCTGCTGCATGTATGGTTTGTCTTCTACAGTTGAGTGAACAACTTCATTTCGACCGATGAGTTCACTTTCAGGTCAGGGCCGTCCTCATCTGTGACATTAGATGCGCCGCGCCATGTGAATTAATTCCTTTCAGGGTAAAAACAAAAGCGACGTTGTACTGCAGGGAACTGACTTAGGAGACATATTGCAATTACAATCACACAACAGAAAGCGAACATGTTCAAGTAGTAGTTAATATGTGGGGACAGACTTTTTTTTTTTCTGCACACCTGGACTTGGTTAATGAAGGACAAGTACAAACAACGAAGGCTTTTTTCCCCAAACCCAAAAAGTGACTGATGATAGTTTGCAGTTCACTTCTTTGTATTTCATAGCACGAGGAAATTGACATTTTAACACAAATTGGTAAGCTGCAAACCGTTTTTTTTTTTTTTTTCACAAAATGTGGTAATGGTAATGTGGTGTAAACTACAAGCAATGTAATGCGTTGACTTTGAGATTGTCTGCTCTGAAGCGCAGCCTCCATTTGCATTTCATATTTCCGTCACTAAATCAAAGAAAGATGAGTTTGTTTTTGGTTTATTTCTGCATGATTTTCCATCTGTTACCCTCCATATGAATAGTATATCTGAAGAGGCATTCACCTACTTTCTTTCTAATTCACCACTATTTATCTGCCTTCCCACCTCCATCCCTTCCTTAACTTTTCCTGTTTGCAGTCAGTCATGAAAACATAGTCAGATACTTACTTTCATTGGAGCTGGCCTGTCAGGCCTCATCACCAGCCAACGTCCTTAACATGTTTAAATTTATGGCTTGTGTGACTTTTTGCGTGTGATATATTCACTAAATGTAAACAACAACTATGCTGATAAACAGATTCAACATGTAGGGGGAACAAAAACTACACGCACAATAATAAACACCAAATGGGCACTATGAACATTTCCATTTCCGATCCATCTTATCCTCACAAGGGTCGCGGGGATGCTAGAAGCTATCCTAGCTGTTTTCGGGCACCCTGAACTGATTGCCAGCCAATCACAGGGCACACACAGAGACAAACAACCATCCACGCTCACACTCATACCGAGGGACAATTTAGAGTGTGCAATCAGCCTTCCGTACATGTTTTTGGAATGTGGGAAGAAACCGGAGTACCTGGAGAAAACCCACGCAGGCACGGGAAGAACATGCAAACTCCACACAGGAAGGCCAGAGCCGGGATTGAACCCATGACCTCTGCACTGTGATGTCAATGTGCTCACCACTCGACCACCGGGCCGCCGCACTATGAACAAAGTAACTTCAATACTACTTACACTATGAGCAAAAACCATGGCATGAACAAGAGAGGAAAGAACCAGCATCTAGAAAATTAGCACATGGTATGGGAGTCGTGAGCAAGGTGAATAATTTGACAGCAAGTACTCGGAGTTGCTGTCCTGAAATAGTCCACTGATTGCTATTCATGACAGGTGTGCCTCTGGAGGGAACACCCTCCACTCCATGACAGATGGATGCATGCATGGAGGGATGGATGAAATGCATCAGGAATTGGAACAAATCTGTAAATATGTGAATCTGGTGGTGACAAATTGGAAGTAACCGTGGCTCGACTGTACATTTATTAATAATAATAATCATAATAATAATAAAAATGAAAAGATTACACATGCATTTCCAAAGCCTCCCAAGTCAAATTAACTCAAAATAGGTTTGTTTTTCAGGTTTTCAATGAGTGGAAAAACACAGGGCGGTCAAGAAGCAAGATGAAGTGGACATATTGTATGTTGTCATGATTTGAAATTTGAAAATGACATTAAATTCAGGTTATAAAAAGATACAATCTTCATTATCAAATGGCTCGCCATGCACTCGTTTGCGGAGAAGAAAGCTGGCTCAATTATGACCATACTTTTTTCCATTTTATTGTTTTGAGTGTTTTTCATACAAATATTTACTGTATTACTGTGTTACTTCATTGCCAAAGATTAGGGATAGACTATGGCATTTTCAGTTCTGGGGTACAAATCCAGGGTATGCCGACATAGTCATTATGGGCCTGCGTCATGAACTGAGGACATCTGTACAGTTTCTCACTTTGCCCTCAGCCCAACCATTCTTAAATAATTGTATTTACTGGTCATGCTCTCTGCAACTCTCCCGGCCCTCTGCCTTATATTGAACTAAAGTCTGCAAATGGGTAACTCAGGTTTATTTCTTTTTGGGCACCTTGGAGTCACGGGTGGAATTGCCTTGTTGGCTCAAAGTGCAAACATTTTTCTTTCAGATCTGCTCTCTTTGCCCTCACTCGCTTGTTTACTGTGTTTTCTAAAGTCTGACTTTCTGGCAACAGTTTTCTCTCTTTCTCCTTCATGTGTTGTGCTCTTCATGCATTTTTAAAAAGCCGTTACAATGTTCCACCATGCACACTCAAACACATGGACTTCACCCTTTGATGCTTTCAGCCACATCAGCACCTGAATGT